CCCCACCAAACACTACCCATCACCCCCATTGGTTGTCCCAACCCGCTCTTGGCCATTCCCCAAGCACTCTCAGCCATTACCCGAGTACTCTTTGCCACTTCCGACCATCCAAGACCATCCTGGACCACCGCTGACCATCCCCAATCACTCCTGGTTATTTCCTGACTGCTCTTGGCCATTCCTTCCCCATTGAGGACCATCCCTGACCACCACTGGTTGTCCCCAGCACTCTTGACTGTATGCAACCACTCTCAGCCGTCCCTTGGCCATCTCTGACTGCCCTTGGCTGCCCTTGGCCACTCCTTGACCATCCCCGACCACCCTTGGCCATGCCTTGATCATCCCCAACCACCCATCCCTGACAGCTCCCGGCCACACCTTGACCATCCCCAACAGCTCCTGCCCACTCCTTGACCGCCCCCAACTGCCCTTGGCCATTCGCTGACTGTCCCCGACTGCCCTTGGCTGTCCCTTGACCATCCCCAACCACCCTTGGCCATTCCCCACAGTTCATCTGCGAGACTTCAGCCCTGCGGACCGTGCGAGAGCGTCTGGAGGCCTCGGGGCTGTGCCCACTCTCAGCTGCCATCGAATACTTGCCCCGGGACCGGGTGACGCTGCCAGAGGGGACGCGGGAGCAGGCGGAGCGCCTCCTCCAGGCCCTCAGCGACTGCCCCGACATCGTCCGCCTCTACCACAACATCCAATAGGAGATGGGGGGGGGAGCATGGCCCCACCAATTGGAGGTCATGTCACTTCCCCCCCATATCTTGTCTCCATCCCCATGATGACAATAAAACCCTGTTTTGACCATGGATCCACCTCCTCCACGGGAGACCACCACCCCAGTGAGCTTCATTAGCATAGCCCTGCCCATCCTTTAGGCAGAAGGGCGTGGCCAAGGGGAGGGCTGGGAGAACCCAGGCGTCCAGTAGTGAGGTCCCAGCCCTTCATCCCCGTGCCCCCCCCCCCAACAAACATGGCAGCAACGGAGGGCAGGGTTGTTTATTTGGGGGACAGGGACAGGGGGTCACTCGTCGGAGCCGGTGGGGCTGCCAAGGAAGACGTCAGCGTAGGTGAAGACTGGGGTGGCCCCTTCTTCGTCTTCCTCCTCTTCATCATCCTCATCGTCGTCGTCGTCATCATCCTCCTCCTCCTCCTCTTCTTCCTCCTCCTCCTCAGGGTGGAGGAAGGCCCCAGCCTCGCTCTGGAGGAGCCGGCGGACAGTGGGATGGGTGAGGCCGAAGAAGTCAGCGCCGGCGCCAGGGACTGGTGGCATTGCCCGGGGCCGCCCCCCAGCCTCCCCCAGGGCCTGGAGGAGCCGGCCATGGCAGACATCGGGCGTAGGGCCCACCAGCACCCTCCCAGGCTCATCCTCGGACACAATCTCACAGCGGGGACCAGCCACGATCCGGCAGGTGTACAGGCAGCGGCGGGCCGGCCGGCGGGTGCTGGCGAAGAGGCGGGTACTATGGAAGCCCAGGGGCAAGATGGCTCCCGGCCCCACGCCACCAACACCCAGGCTGTGCACTGTCAGAGGCCCCAATGCCAAGGGCAGCGTCAACGCCCCACCGCGCCGGCGGGGGGGTGGCCTCAAGATGGCTGCCGGTGGCCCAGCTGGGCTGGAGGTGTCCTCAGGTGATCTTAAGATGGCCACCGGCGGCGTGTCCAGCTTGGGGCCACCTCTGGGTCCGTTTGGCCTCAAGTCATCTCTTGGGCTGTCCCGCAGCCCCGTTGGCCTCAAGCCATCTCTTGACTCATCTCTTGGGCCATCTCTTGGCCCTGGTGTCCTTGAACTGTCTCTCGGCCCATCTCTTGACCCACTGGACCTTGATCCATCTCCTAGACCGTCTCTTGAGCCGGCTGGCCTCACCCCGTCTCTTGACCCAACCAGCCTTGACCCATCCCTTGAGCCAGTTGGCCTTGACTCATCTCTTGGTCCATCTCTTGGCCCAGTTGGCCTTGACTCATCTCTTGGCCCATCTCTTGACCCAGTTGACCGCGCCCCATCCCTCGCTCCATCTCTTGACCCAGTTGGCCTCGACCCATCTCTCCCTCCATCTCTTGCTCCAGTTGACCGCCCCCCATCTTTCCCTCCATCTCTTGACCCGTCGGCCCGGGATCCACCGCGGCGAGGCCGGCGGCCGGTGACTTCACCAGGGACCTCCTCAGGGCCAGCCATTGCCCGGAGTTGGAGGAGCCGGGTGAGGAGGAAGCGGCGCTCGTCCCGCGCCCGTAGGCACTTGGCCTCCAGCCGGGCCACCTCATCGCAGAGCGCCCCGTTCTCGAACACCAGCGCCCGCGCTGCCCGCCGCAGCCGGCTGTACTTCAGGCGGTACCGCTCCGCCGGGCGTTGCCGCGGCCCCTTCGGCATCCTGCCTGCCCAATTAACCCCAACGAGTAATTAATTCATTAATTAATCAGCCGCGCTCGGGTCTCGCAGCGGGTTCGGCTGGCGAGAAATTAATTGCAACCCTTCTCCGTTGCCACGTTGATTGCAATTATTGCAACGGGTTTCAGACCTGCAATGGATGCCGTGAATTGCAATTAATACAGTGGGTTGCGATTAATTCAATGGGTTGCGATTAATTCGATGGGTTGCAATTAATTCAAGGGGTTGCAATTAATGCCATGGGTCAATGATGCGCATTGCAGTGATTGCAATGAATTGTAATTATTGCAGTGGGTTGCAATTAACACAAAGAATTGCCATTATTGCAATAAGTTGCAATTAAAGAGCCGGACTGCAATTAACGCGATCGCGATTAATGCACAGTTGCAATCATTATTAAACTGATGGCCGCTGGTTTTAATTGCAGTGTTAATTGCAGCCCCTACGATTGCAG